GTGTCTAGGGCCAAGGAAACTTTGGGGGCCTATGAAAATGTTTTTGCTTTTAAACAATTATGAAAATAGGGAAAGTCACGGGAAAATCAAAACTCATTATCCTAAAATTAAATAAATTTAAGATATTACTGCTACTTTACTATGCATATGCTTACCGTGACTTACTGAAGATTATAGGGCCGGGGAATACATTTACAACCCTAAGCAGCCAGATTATTATTGCAGTGAGGGCCTGCAAGTGTCTTAATGCGGCCCTGTTGGTGGGCAACTTTGTAATGTTGCAGAGCCTTGAAAAGAGGTGTTTCACAACGTTCAAGAACACAAACAAAAGCTCCTGTCTGCAAATCGTTAAAGCAACCCTATTTTCTGGGCTCATATGGCTGCTGTCGGCTGCTTCCACCTGCTCTTTGCCCAGCAAAGCAAGCGGCTGTGCGCGTATACGCGATCACGGGCCTTCACTGAAGCTTACTGCTTTTGCCAAAACATGAAAACAGCCTCGTGCCACAAGCTCTGCCCCTTTTGTCCTTGTGTGAGAAGTCATGATGTCACAGGGGGAGGGACTTGCATCACAAGGGTGCAATAATGCTCTCATCCTTCTGCCCTCTCTGCGAACATCACTGGGCGCCATGCACAGTCCTGCAGAAAACTGCCAGGAGTGGCTCTGAAAAGCAGCTGTGCAACTCTGAGAAAGACAAGGATGCCTTAGAGTTTCAAGGAGAGGTGCTTCATACCCATCCCATGCATTGGGAAGCCCCTCTTTGGAAGGATTTGTACAGCCCTTTTTTGCACAGGCTTTTTTGATGCAACCCAGCAGAGTGTGTGTGGAATGGTTGAGAGTGGTACTATCTGCGTTTCAGAGCCAATACCTGATGTCTGTGAGATTGCACGTACTGCACCTAAAATGCCAGCAACCTCACATGTGGCAATAAAACTCCCCGAAGGCAACTGTACTTCCAACTACGGCTTTTGCCATAAGGACATCCCCCTTCCTGTGCAGATTTTGGCAGACTGATTTCTTCCTGGTGATCTCCACCCTTTATCAGCTTTGGGATTTAGCTGGGTGTTTCCTACATCCTAGTTCCCCCTCCAAGCACTGGCAGAGGTAGGCAGCCCTCTCAAGCATCAGCAAGTAAGAAGAAGCAGCAGGTTGTTGGGCACTGAAGCAACGTGTAACAGTCTGTTCAGCTTCTGCAAGCGAAGGGAGGGTGAGAGACATCTTGTTATTCACTTCGGGAAGCAAAATGTCTCTGCTCCTTCCCTTTCTTTTCTTCTTCACCATTTTAAATTCCTGCCAGAAGCTTCAAACCAATAGCAACTATTCTATCTCACTTGCTCACTCACATACGCATACCATGAAAGCAGATGGAACTAATCATATAGGTGGTGATGTGGCTCTGTAACAATAGACAGAGTAAAATATACCATAAATATTGCAAACCATCTACAATCTGCTTCCTCTTATGGAAAGCTTAAAAAATTGGCTTAACGTATGTACTAACTAACACTTACTAATCTTGTTGTTAAACCTGCAGCTGGTACAGTACAGAATAGCAATTAAGGGCAAAGTCTATTCAATAACTTTTCCAAGCTGGCATTTTAACAGTATAGAAAAAGTGAAAAGCAGGATGGCAAAAGGGATAGCTACAATTGCTCAGTCTTTTTTGTTCTAAGATCCTCACCTAGCAAACATCTCAAGCAAATGACTGTGCCAGCTATTAACAAGTAATTTAGCAAAATTCTCCAAGGCTGTTGTCCTTAACAGCTTTCTTTCTTCCCACCTCACTCCATCTCCCATACAAGCAAGGGACAACCATTCACTTTTAGGGGAAATATAACTATTGCAGGTATGCTTACAATATGGACAAATATGCTTATGGTTGCAGAGGGAGCTGTCAGGCCTAGCCCAAGGAACTCCAAGAGACAATGCCAATTCAGTCCAGCTATGTTT